CTAGCTAAACGTATAAATAAGAAAAGTACTAGTCTGATGCTGAGGGTGTGGCTCAGCGGTAGAGTGTGTGAGCTGAATCCAGCAGTGTGGGAATGGGGCGGTGGTTCAGTGGGAGAGGGCTAGTTTAGTGCACCTGAGGAGCTGCAGTGCACTGCCAGCAACGGCGTTCACACACACACACACACACACACACACACACACACACACACACACACATCAGCCCTTCCACTGTCAGCTCACAACCAGACAACCACCAGTCTTTATTTATTTAAAAAGGGTTTTTTTTGTTGTTCTTTGTTTTTCGAGACAGGGTTTCTCTGTGTAAATGCCCTGGCTGTCCTGGAACTCACTCTATAGACCAGGCTGGCCTGGAACTCACAGAGATCCACCTGCCTCTGCCTTCCAAGTACTGGGTTTAAAGGTGTGTGCCAACACGGTCCAGCTAAAATTTTTATTTCTTTAAGAATAAAAAATATCTATGTGTTTTGCTGTATTCATGTCTATACACCACATGCATGGAGTAACAGGTGTGTTCGACTAATCCTGTGGGTGCTGGGAATCAAACCCGAATCCTCTGGAATGACAGTCAGTGCTCTTAACCACCGGGCTGTTTCTCCAGACCTGGCTGGCAGACTTCTGAAGCACTCCCAGAAACTCCGTGCTGACGTTTGGTAGATCTTGGCGTGCAGTTACCTGAGTGCAACAGAGAAGAGCACACGGTCCCCCCTTGCCCTTTTAGCCCCATCGTGTGAAATATGAGCTCAGGTCTTCCGTGCTCGAGGATGAACTCTCTTGCTGAACACAGGCTGGTAGGTGTTATCTGGATCCTATGTGTCCCCTAAAGGCTCATAGGCTGAAGACTGGTCACCAGCCTGTGTCACTACCGACCTTGAAGTGGGGACCCTTAAGGAAGGGAAGCCATGGTGATGCACACTTGTAGGGATGCTGGGATCCTGGCCCCTTTCCCTCTGCTTCCCCTGCTGCTGTGAGATGAGCAGCAGACTCCTGGCCTTGACACTGTCTCATCACAGGCTGAGGTAATAGTAACGAGGGTCAGATAGCCACAGATGGAAATCTGCAACCACGAGCTTCTCCTGGCTTTCCCTGTTTGGAATGCTAAGGGTTGGATCCAGGACCTCGTGCATGCTTGGCAAGTTCCGGGTCACCGAGCTACAGCCAGCCTCCTCTCCTCTGTACATTATCTCAGGTTGGGCTGGGGGAGAGTGCTTGCCGGTCTGAGGACTGGAGTTGGCATGCCAACACAAATGTCAGGTGGGCATGGCGGGCCTGCCTGTAGTTCTAGCCTTGGAAGGGGGAAACAGGGTCTCCAGAGCAAGCTGGCTAGCAAGATTAGCCATTAGCAGTGAGCTCTGGGTTTGAGTGAGACCTGCCTTGATGAATGAGGGGAAAGAGCAACAGAGGGTTATTCCCAACAGTAACCTCAGACCTTCCTATGCATGTCCATATACACAGATGCACAATACCCACATGTATGTCCACACATGCAAATATGCCTTCATACATGAACACACACATATACACATGTGCGTGCGTGCACACACACACACAAACAAAAATGGAAAAAAATTATCTCAGGTATTTGTCACAACAACAGAAAGCTGCCCAACAAGCTGGCTGGAAAGTTGGGGCATCCCTCTTGCTTGCTGACTTGGGGGTGGGTGGGTGATGTGCCAGCATGTTCTGTGGATCTATTTCTTGTAATGTTTGGTGGTACTCAGTATGTGTGGTGGGTGCGTGGCTTGTGCAAATCTGTAGGCAGTTTCTGCACACCACGTCTCATGTCTGTGTTTGGGGTTGGCGCTGCGTCTCTGGGAGTTGAGTCCATCAAAGCGAGTCCACATGCTCTATGGTGGGAGGTGACTCCGGCTGTGTGCCCAGGGACCCCAGAGTTCTCAGGAACTTCCATTTCCTTCTTACTGTATCTGCTCGCTGTTACTGCTTCCTCCGTCTTCGGAGTTACAATTAAACAATTACAACAATTAAGCCATCTCCCAAAAAGTCATGCCACCCAGAATCCCTTGAAGGAGCTAATGAGGGTTATTATTTTACATGCAGGTCCATGCCTAGTGACTCACACTCTCCAGAACATACGGGCTGCACACACATCGTAAGCCTGAGGGCAGTGTTCTCTGCCAGGCTACACAATGCTATGAAGAACAGCTTCGTGCTGCTGATCTGCTTCCAATGCTCATTGACTTATTTTTCTACTTGGGATAGAACCATATGCTAGGCAAGCACTCTACCCCTGAGCGATATTCTCAGCCCTCTTTTTACTTTAAAAAAAAATTGTGTATGAGTGTTTTTTCTGCATTTATGTGTGCACCACATGCATGCAGTGCCCACAGCGGCCAGAAGAGGGTGTCAGATTCCTTGGAACTAGAGTTACAGACGGTTGTGAACCACCCGGTGGGTGCTGAAATTGAAGCTGAAGTTGGCTAAGTGCTCTTTTTCGTTTCTTGAGGTGGTATTGTGTTCCCCAAAATATTGTGTACCCTAATAAACTTATCTGGGGTCAGAGACAAAACAGCCACAATATTAAACATAGAGGATAGGCAGTGGTAGCACACGCCTTTAATCCTAGCATTCCAGAGGCAGAAATCCATGTGTTCAAGGATACAACCAAGCATGGTGACTCACGCCTTTAATCCCAGAAAGCAAGCCTTTAATCCTAGGGAGTGAGACAGAAAGCAGAAAGATGTATAAGGCATGAGGACCAGAAACTAGAAGCATTTGGCCTGGTTAAGCATTTGGCTGGTTAAGCTTTTAGGTTTTGAGCAGCACAGTTCAGCTGAGAACCATTCTGGATGAGGACTCAGAGGCCTCCAGTCTGAGGAAACAGGATCAGCTGAGGATCCGGCGAGGTGAGGTAGCTGTGGCTTGTTCTGGTTCTCTGATCTTCCAGTTCACCCCAATACCTGGCTCAGGTTTGATTTTATTAATAAGACCATCTAAGATTCATGCTATAGTTTCTTTTTTTTCTTTCTTTTTTGTTTGTTTATTTTTCAAGACAGGGTTTCTCTGTGAACCCCTGGAATTCACTGTGTAGACCAGGCTGTCCTTGAATTCAGAGATCCACCTGCCTCTGTCTCCTGAGTGTTGGGATTAAAGGCATGGGCCACCACCGCCCAGCTTTCTTTGTGCTTTTTGAGGCAGGGTCTCACTAATCGTTCAGGCAGGCCTTCAACTCACTCAGTAGCCCAGACCTGTCTGAATAGGGAGGATGGCAGGTCTGTGCCACAAACCTGGCTTTGTTTACTTTCTTAAAATACTAAGTGGGGGCCGGAGAGATGGCCCGGCAGTTCAGAGCACTGGCTGCTCTTCCAGAGGACCTGGCTTCAATTCCCAACACCTACACGGCAGCTCACAATAGTAACTCCAGTTCTAGGGGACCTGATGCCCTTTTCTGGCCTCTGTGGGCACCGTACACAGGCAAAACATAAAAACAAGTCTTAGAATACAAAGTCCCCGAGGTCAGGGTCTGTGACAGACCTCACCGCCACCCTCCCTTCTCTGCTTCTCCACAGTTCCTTTGACAGCTGACCGGTTAACAGTTGTTCTAGAGTGAAAGACCGACCCCCAGATTCTTCGAGCTTTACCATGTGGCCACACGACATCATTCTGGCTAATGAGTTAGGAGTAGGTTTGGACTTGGGCCTCTCCCAGGTCTGTACTCTAGCCCAGGCTGGTTTGGAATTCATCATAACCCACGCTGGTTGTCCTCCATAGCTTCCTGAATGCTAGGACTACGGTCAACTACCATGCCTGGCTCTGGTGCCCTTTCTTAAGGACAAAGACTCCTCCTGTTCCTTCTCTCCTGGAGTGTGAGGTGGGAGTCAGGACAGGATGGGAGTACACCATGGTGTACAGACATGGAGATGGCTGCTGACACACAGAGATCATTATCCTGCGGAATATGTGAGCCTCTACAAGAAAATCAGTCAGGCTGGAGAGATGGCTCAGTTAAGAGCTCTGGCTGCCCTTCCAGAGGACCCAGGTTCAATTCCCAGCACCTGAATGGCAGCTGACAGCTGTCTGTAACTCCTGTTCTGGGGGATCTGATTCCCTTATACAGACATACATGCAGGTAAAACACCAATGCCCATAAAAATAAATTTATTTTTTAAAAAAGAAAGAAAATGTATCAAACTGCAAGGTGTGGTTGCACACACCTTTATTCCTAGCACTTAGGAGACGGAGGCAAGGAGGATCTCTCAGAGTTTGAGGCCAGCCTGGCCTACACAGTAAGCTCCAGGCCAAACTACATAGTGAGACCTTATCTCAAAAAAAAAAAAAAAAGAAAAAAGAGGACTTGAGCTTTCATCCTGCTTAAACTCCATTATTTTGGGCTGTTACAGCAGCACAGTATTTAATTTTAAGAGAAATTTATATGGGTAAGTATACTGTGTGTGCAAGAAGTTGACCTTAACCTTTATGAAGGTTAAGGATGGATCCTGGTGTATTGAGATGGATCCTGGCCCTCTGAAAGCAGCACTTTTTAAAATCTTATTTTATGTGCATTGGTGTTTTGCCTGCATGTATGTCTGTGTGAGGGTGTCAGATCTTGGAGTTTACACACAGTTGTTAGGTAGACATGTGGGTGCTGGGAACTGAACCCGGATCCTCTGGAAGAGCACTAAGTGTTCTTAACAGCTGAGCCATCTCTCCAGCCCCTCAGTAAACACTCTTACCCACAAGTCAACTCTCCAGCACTCAGGATATTACCTTAAGTAAAAAGGGGTAAAGCCATCTCTTGGCGGCATCTAAGTGCCACGGCATCATCCAGGTGTTTGATTGAGACGGGGTCTTTTTATGTATTTCTTGCTGTCCTGGAACTCACTCTGTAGACCAGGCTTGCCTCGAATTCAGAGATCTGCCTGCCTCTGCCTCCCGAGTGCTGGGATGAAGGATGTGTACCATCACACCCCACCATGAGTTACTTTACCAAGATCTTCCCGAAATCAAGAGACTCCCACATCCTCCTGGATTCTGATTAATTTAATGCACAAATCTCAAAAACCAATGGCAGAAAAGAGAATAAAATAAACGGGATCAGAGGAAAAGGGCCACAGGCAGACAGACAGAGGGGGACGCCCTTCGTTCAGTGTCACATCTCATCCAAGCCGTAGTCCTCCTCGGGGAAGTCTCCCACGGTGACGAGTGCCGGCTTGACAAAGGCTCCGTACTTGGCCTGGCATTCAAAGTAGCGTTTCCCATTCACACTGCAGGGCAGATGGGGGGCAGCAGTGAGGGCAGGCTACCACTCTCCTGGCCAGCGTGGGTAGACTCAGCCAGCAGCACATGGACACGGACAAGCACACACGTCAGTGGCAATACGTTACCTGCCATCGTTTTTCCCTAACGGCTCATCGTATCTGACACCAACCCAGTAGCCTGGCTTGAAATCTGTGAGTCCTGTCCGGGAGAGAGATCTCAGTGAAACCTCTATGTGGAGCCCCCTCCTGGTTCCTGCTCCTTGGTGGAGTGGAAATGCTGCCATGGAGACAGGTTCCTACCTCCATGGCTTATGTCCCACCTCCTCCCCAGACAAAGATGGCAGCCTTGCCACCGCCTCTTCTCTTCTGCCTCTCTCCATTCCCTCAGGAGCCCAGCCAGAGCATGGCGTTGCCACAGAGAAAGGCTTGGGTGGCAGTGTGGCCATGGATAAGCCTGGCTTCAGGTTGGTGACGGACTACACAGGCTTGGCGTGTGCTGGGCGGCAGTGGCGGCACACACCTTTAACCCCAGCACTTGGGAGGCAGAGGCAGGTCAATCTCCGAGTTTGAGGCCAGCCTGGTCCTCCATGATGCTACGGCCAAGTGCATGGGGCCAGGTGGCCACCAACTGCCCCTTCCGAAACTTGAGCCAAAAGACATCTTTCCTTAAGTTCTGTCACGTTTCTAGTCACAGTGACGGAAAAGACACATACCTACATACATGACAGTGCCCCGGCGCGGGGACTGGCCAGGTGCCTGCACCTCACAACGGCTACCCACAGAGATGGCGCTGGCTTGGGTCTTCTCCTCGCTGAGGCGCTGGGCGGCTTCCGCCTCCTGCTGTGCCCGAAGTTCCTCATTGTATGGGCCTACCTTGCTGCGCTTCATGAAGGATCGAACTGTGTCTGTGGGCAGGGTGGGGATGGGGTCAAACCTGCCCTTCAGACATGTCCCTCCTATAAAGGGCTGACACTCATGGGGAAACTCTACTGAGTGTTTAAGAGCTACCACCAGATGCTCTCAAGCCTCTCGCCACGCTCTGGCCTCTCCCCTGCTTTCCTCCCTCCTCCCATTTGCATCTCCCTGCAATTCAGAACTAAAGAGATGCCACCTGCCTCCCGTCCCTTGGCTGACCCTATTTCTCCACACATCCCTCTGGTCTCATATTCATCTTCATCTGGCTCCCGAAACACTGCCCTGTCTGCACATTCCGATCTTTCCTCAGATGCCTGCTCCAACTGCCACACTACCCTGCACACATCCCATCTGCCCCATCACATGCCATCTTTACCATGACCACTCCCTCAACCAAATCCCCAACCCACCTCAAGTTCCTTTCTTTCAAAGCCCCCTCTGCCCGCCTAACCCCATTTCCTAGCCTCCCACGCCACTCCATGCCATCTACCTGAACTCATCTCCCTGTCCCTTCCCTACCGTAAGTCCCCCCTCACCAGCTTCCATCCTCCAAGCTCCATCCCCGTGCCTAGCCAGTGATGGCCCCAGCCTTCTGGACCACACATGCCCTCCAGCCCATCCCCGTGCCTAGCCAGTGATGGCCCCACTGTCTCCCAGCCTTCTGGACCACACATGCCCCTCCAGCCCATCCCCGTGCCTAGCCAGTGATGGCCCCACTGTCTCCCAGCCTTCTGGACCACACATGGCCCTCCAGCCCATCCCCGTGCCTAGCCAGTGATGGCCCCACTGTCTCCCAGCCTTCTGGACCACACATGGCCCTCCAGCCCATCCCCGTGCCTAGCCAGTGATGGCCCCACTGTCTCCCAGCCTTCTGGACCACACATGGCCCTCCAGCCCATCCCCGTGCCTAGCCAGTGATGGCCCCACTGTCTCCCAGCCTTCTAGACCACACATGCCCTCCAGCCCAGCCCATGCATTCTGTACTTTGCCTCCGGTCATAAGCTTCTGATGACATTTCATATTTCTCCACCTTGGACACATCTTCATACTCTCCAAGGCGGATGCCACTGTGGTCAATGACCTTTGGGAAGAAGAGGGAAGTCAGTGGGGACCAGGGTCAGTAGAGAAGACCTGGGATGCTAGCATGAAGTCACACACTGGCAGTCTGGAGACTTTAGTGGAAGCCACACTTCTCTCCTCCCCGGAGCCCAGCAGAAGAGACAGCGGTCACGCCCCTTTCACACCCATCTGAGCCTCTGGATACTGCATCTGCCCGCAGTTAGCCTCCACACACTGGCATCAACATCACTGATGTGTGCCCATGTCCTTAAAACAAGCTATAGAGCTCGTCTGGCTCACATCCTTCCTCTCACGGCCCCTGTGATGTTCCTAGGGTAGCCCCAACCTCCAGAACCAGGATCACCTGAGTCATAACAGCCTCCTTTCTGGCTTCCCTATTCTGTCCTCCATCTGGCTTTCCAACTACAACCTGAGGGTGCCCACGAACACCTGAGGCACAGCAGATCCCTCATGTTCAGCGCCCTCCCAGCTTCCACCATCCTTCCCAATAGCTCCCGGCAGCCCCTGTGTTCCCTCCCCTTTCATTGTGTTCTCCCAGGCCACGTCCTCCGCTGCCTCTTCTATGAACTCTTCTTGAGATGTTCACACAGCACCTGCTCCAGGAGGTCCTCACAGATCTCACTGAAGGCCAGCCTCTCCAGCACCCAGGATTCCAAGCTCTCCTGCACTGCCCTCATCCCCATGGATTTTTCCTATCTGGTTCTGTGATCATTTAGCGAAGGCCACCACACACACTGGGTAGGGCTAACACAGGCTTTCTGGGTTACGGCTTGCAACCACACCCAACCCAACACATATGTTCGAAGAACCAGTAACAGAATACATGAGAGACAGAAAAAATAACCAGTTCTCTAAGTTCAGTAGCTTCTGGAGTCAGGGCAGACCCAGGTCAAAATTCTAGCAAGAGTTCACCCTTAAGAAAGTAAATTTGGGGTTGGGAGGGTGACCCAGGCCTGTAATCTTAGCACTCTGGAGGTGGCTGCAAGATGATTATGAGTTCAAGGACAAGGACAGTCTGGAACACACACACACACACACACACACACACACACACACACACACACACATCAAACTGCTTAAGAACAACAACCAACCAACAGAACAAAACAACAATTCCATCCTTGAAGCTGAGTTTTTTCTTCCACAAATGGAGGTAAGTCAACCATAGTCCTGTGTTATTCTGAGGGTTCAACCACTCAGCAGTGACTCAGTGATTTACAGAGGACCCTGTCTGTGCTGGGCCCTATTCCAGTAGCTGGTGACATAGCCATGAACTACTGTGAGTGATGTCTGTGCTCCTGGAATTCTAGTCAGGGAGACAGACAAATAACCAGACCAATGAGAAAGTCCCAAGACATGCTGGAGTGTGGTAACAGCTAAGAGCAAAGAAAAACCCCAAGTATGTTTTAAAAAAGGAGAAAGAGAGGTCAAATTTTTATTCTGAGCTATAATTCCACTTGGGAGGTGGAGACAAGCCCAGGAATAGAGGGCTAGCCATGGCTACACAGGGAGTTGGAGGCCCATCAGGACTACATGAAACTATCTCAAAAAACCAAGAGGTGTTGAAGAGGTGGCTCAGCAGTTAAGAGCACTGGCTGCTCTTTCAGAGGACCAGGGTTCAGTTCCCAGCACCCACATGGCAGCTCACAACACTTCTAATTCCAACTCTAGGGGATTCAGGGTCCGCTTCTGGCCTACACACACACACACACACACACACACACACAAACACAGAGGCAAAATTCTCATACACATAAGACAAAATAAATAAATCTAAAAACAAACCAAAACAGTAAAAAGGGGGAGCACAGGATGGTTGCATCGAGATGGCTCAGGGTAAAGGTGCCTGCTGGCAGGCCTGGCCGAGTTCAGTTCACAAGGCTCACACAGAGGAAGGAGAAAATCTGATCTGACAGCACGCTGTACCACCCCTGCGTGCACCACGGCACGCACTGAACAGAAGCAAACAAACACAATCACTGACTCCTATAAAGGCACTGTTTGGAAGGCCTTTTTTTCTGTGCTGACTAATGAGCTTAGGCCTTGCAGTTTCATCACACTTGGACCTTTCATTGTTTTCAGTGTGTGTGTGTGTGTGTGTGTGTGTGTGTGTGTGTGTGTGTGTGCGCGCGCGCACCAGAGGACAACTTTGTGGAACTGGTTCTTTCTTTCTTTCCTTAATGTGGGTCTAGGAACTGAACTCAGGTTGACAGCCTCCTGTGACCAGCTCCTACTGTTGTTCTGTTTTGTTTTGTTTTCTCACGACAGGGTTTCTCAATGTAGTGCTGGCTGTCCTGGAACTCACTCTGTAGACCAGGCTGGGCTTGAACTCACAGAGATCCACCTGCCTCTGCCTCCTGAGTGCTGGGATTAGAGCTATGTGCCACCACTGCCCGCTTTGTTTGCTTGCTTGTTTTTTTTTTTTTTTTTTAACAGAGTCCCACTACTTATCCTAAGCTCGCCTCCTAACTCCTCCTGAAAGCTGAGATTACAGGTGTGCCCCACTATATCCAGTGCTGGAAGGTAACATCTTAAGATTAGAAAGATTCCCATGTGGGCATATGAAAAGCGAACTATTTGGATAGAGAATACAACACAAGGCAGAAAAGGGATGACGCGGAGCTTAGAACAGGATGTCTAACCAACAGTGGGGTAGGAACTGAGCGGGGAAGGTGAGGAGAGCTGTTACACACAGAGGTCCTTTGTGTTCTCGCTTCTCCCAATCTGGCCAGCCTCCTGCTCAGGGTGCTTCACCTCAGTTCTTTGGAGTTCTGTACTCTTTCCCTCCACATAATACCCTCAGGATATCAGCTCAAACACCCATTCCTCCAGGATACCCCCAAGTCAAGCCAGGAGCCTCTTCGGTGTTTCGCCACTCCCGGGAGTGCCCCTAACCCAGGACAGACAGCTCTGGTCTGTCACTGTCTACTGAACACCTGCTTTTCACCAGGCTTAACTGGGGGTTCCATGAGGACAGGGCCTATACTGGTTACCACAATGGGCAGAGCACACTATTTGTTGACTAAATAAAGGATGAATGTGGTGTGGGAAGGGTGGCCTCACATGGATGCGGCAGCCATCATCTACAGGATAGGAGCCCAGCAGTGCATCCTCTTGATCCAACTTGCTGTAGAACTTGTCATCAGCTCCGTACAGCTCCAGCTCCATGCAGGAGGCAGGACTGCCCACCACCAGTTGTAGTTTACACTGCGGCAAGGGGGCAGAATGAGGAGAAAGGCTGTCGGAGGCCTCATTTTCTGGCTTGTATCAACCACTAGGATGGTTCCCAAAGACCCCGGGCCCACCCAGCTCAGTTCCTTCTGGGGCCCGCCCCCTCGGCTCTCTGGAGCGTCTGGTTTTCCTGGGCCCCGCCCCTACTCTGGGGACTCCCACGCCTCGGAGGCTGGTTACCAGTCTCTGCAACCTCACCTCAAGCCCCGCCCACTAGCCTCCAGGCCCCGCCCTCCGGACCCCGCCCCCATGGCCACACCTTGAACTCTGCGATGGTAAGGCTACGACTGTACCGCTTCTCCGAGCGGAAGCTGTTGAGAGAGCTGCTGATGAAAACCGTCACCGTGGGCGCCGATATCCCCGTCACCTCCATCTCGCCGCGCCCTGCAGTGGCCCGCGGTCCAGTTCAGCCGTCTCACACCGGCTCCGCAGTGGCCGCCGCTCCTTCTGGGCTATCAGTCCCGCCCCCGGTCCCGAGGATGACCAATGCAAGCGCTCCAACAAACACGGTTGGCCAGTCACTATCGTCCTTTCTCCGCCGCCAGGCAGATTCAGCCAATCCCGAGAGGCCTTCCGTGGCTCTGGGTTCTTCCAATAGCTGCAAGGGAGGCCGCCCAGGCGGGCGGGAGGAGGCGGATACCAAGGAGAAAGGCTGGCTAGAGTTATCCTGGTTCGCCAAGAGTAAGCTCGGCGCATGTGCACTGGCCTGGGGCCAAGACGCGAGCCGTGGCTTCTTCCGTTTACGCTCCGCGCTTGGCGCACGGCGTTGCGCACCATAGTCTCAGCGCTTGTCCTGGGTCCGTGCTACTCCATAAATTGGGAAGCAAGGTTGCGAAATCGGGAGTGATTAGCAGAGGGTATCAAAGGATTGCGGCAAGCCGTCAGCCAGAACCCAGCAAGATTGAGAACCAACATGCGCACGCATCCCCGACCAATTTTGGCGCAGCCACGCGGTATGACCCTTCCCGCGGTCCGTAGCGCGGCGGCGCAAGCGCAGAAAGCTCGGAAGCCCCTCCGCTATGGAACCCGACGGGACCTACGAGCCCGGCTTCGTGGGTATTCGATTCTGCCAGGAATGGTGAGGCCTGGGCAGCCGGTGTGGAAAAGCAGTGAGGATTGGCTTCAGGTCTGACCTCCGCCCTCCCTCTCCCCACAGTAACAACATGCTGTACCCCAAGGAGGACAAGGAGAACCGCATTCTGCTGTACGCGGTGAGTACCAGCCGCCCTCTCCAGCGGGTTCGCGCCTTCCCTCCTCTCCGCTCCCTGCTGGTTCCCCACGCTTTTGCCTCTTGACTGCCCTTCACTACACCCTCTCTCCCATCATGTCCATCCCCCCCGGGGATCCTCCTGCCCTCCCATCCAGTCTGATCTCTTTGTGACACCCCTCCCGCCACTCACCCCCCTCCGGTAGTGCCGGAACTGTGACTACCAGCAGGAAGCCGACAACAGCTGCATCTACGTCAACAAAATCACGCACGAAGTGGAGTGAGTGGCGGGACCCCGGCTTGGGGTACGGGTATGGTCTTGGGACACCCAGTCTAACTGTAATTACTCACTTCCCCATCCCTGTAGCGAACTGACCCAGATCATCGCAGACGTGTCGCAGGACCCCACGTTGCCGCGGACGGAGGACCACCCGTGCCAGAAGTGAGTGCGCAGCTGACTTGGGGGAAAGGAAGTGGCTGTCCCCCGGGGATAACTAGGGTCTTTAACACTTAGTAACTGAACCATCTCCTTAGGTGTGGCCACAAGGAGGCAGTGTTCTTCCAATCACACAGTGCCCGAGCTGAGGTGAGTGGACCACTTCTTCCTGGGTGGCTGGGTGGTTCCCCAGGGGGTGGAGATGCCAGTTTTAGGCTGATCCTATGCTTCCTCCCTTTTGACTGTTCTTTGGGGTGGAATACCCCACACTACTCTCTCTTGGTCCAGACCCTTCCTAACTGAACATTCTTATTGCCAGGATGCCATGCGCTTGTACTATGTATGTACTGCCCCACACTGCGGCCACCGCTGGACTGAATGACTTTCCCTTCCCCCATCTATAATAAATGCCAGTTTCTATACTACTGTTCCCTGTATTTATTTGTCTCATGGATAGGCAGCAGCCAGTATATCAGGTTGTGCGGTGTAGCATGCGATGCTGTGCGTAAGCATCAGGCCGAGAGCTGGTGAAGCCGCAGTCTTCACACACGTGCAGCTTCTCCCTGCGCTCCCGGTAGGCGTAGCTGGCTGGCTGCCCATGGACCTTGGCAAGATGAGCTTCAAGGGAGCAGCGCTGCGTGAAAGCTTTTCCACAAGCTCCACAGCGGAATGGCCGTATTCCTGTAAAGATGAGGGGCAGAGAGGGCAACGGTCCTGGACTATAGGCTTCCCACCTTGCCTTTCCTGTCCTTATTCCAAGCTGGGCAGGCGCTTACATTCATGGCCCACCAGCCATCTGCTACCCCTTCCTAAAGCAACATGAACCAGCCCTTTGTCTCCTCCATTCCTCACCAGGAAGCTCCCGAGAAAGGGAGGAGCCCTTAGCAACTTGGAAAGTTTCCTTGACTGCTCTGAATCTGGATCCTGAAAATTTACTTTGTTTTTGTTTTTGTTTTGAGATAGAGTCTCTGTGTGTAGTCTTGGCTGTCCTGGATCTTGCTCTGTAGACCAGGCTGGCCTCAAACTCACAGAAATCTACCTGCCTCTGCCCCTCAAGTGCTGGGATTAAAGGCGTGTGTCACCAAACCTGGCTTGATTTTTTAATTACATTTTGTTTGGTGTGTACGTATTTGTATGTGCGTGCGAGCGAGCGTGTGCACAAATGCCCTGGTACAAGTCAGATAACTTGCAGTCTGTTCTTACACCTCCTGGGTCCTGAGGATTGAACTCGGGTCGTCAGGCTTGCCAGCAGTTGCCTTTACTCTTTGAGAAATCTTACTGGCCCCAGAGCCTGAATTCTGTAGCCAGCACCCATCTCTACCCTCTGCCAGACTCCTTCCTTGGTGCCAGCTTATGCTCACCTCCTGTGAGGTACCCCATTACCTGTGTCCCTGCCACATCCCCCACATCCCGTGCCTCTCCCTCTGTCATTCCATCACCGTCCCTGGCTGGCGTCCTGAAGACCCTCTTTTCCCCTGTCGCTCACCAGTATGAGTCCTCATGTGGCGCTTGAGATCGAAGGCATCGTGAAAGCCCTTACCACAGCAATGGCACACGTGGCGCCGTGCTGGGCTATGACATTTCAGGTGCCGAGTCAGCATGCGCTGCAATGGGAAAGCCTTGGGGCAAAGTGGGCAGCCAAGTGTTCCCGGGGCCCTGGGAGCAGAGGGCAGTGTTCCCTGTGAGGACTGCCAGAGGGGTACAGGAGTTAGCCTGGCCAGCTGGATCCTGCCCAGGCTTTGCTACTCTGCAAACAAGAATTGTCCGTGTGCCCACAGCTAAGGACCACCAGAAGAGGGTCTGTGAGTCGTGGGGACAGGTGCCACCCTCTCCCCAAGACCTTCCCTAACCAGATCCCATCACTGGTGTTCATGTGCGTCCATTGCCAAGAACACACTTCGCTAATATGAGCTTTCCTAGTGTTATTGTCTGTGCCTCCAGCTCCCACCAAGAAGAAGCTCCATGAGGAAGTGGACTTGCGTCCCTTCTGCTGGATACTCAGCACCTTGACCAGTGCCTGTCTCTCAGATACTGAGATGACCTCAAGCACACTCAGTTTTGACTAGTACTTTCTTTTCAAAGACAGCACAATTGACCTGCTCGTGGGAGGTTAAGGAAGCAGAGCCCCATCTCTGTTACCTTATCCAGTGTTCTGATATAAATCACCCACTGGACACAGCTCCTTGGAGCAGCCCTACAACTGCTCACCCACCCTAGGAATGCCGTTCTTAACTGAGACTGGGCAGAGCTGGCTGCTGGGAGAGGAGCAGCATGCCACATGAAGAACAACAGGTCCTAGACTGGAAAGCATGTGAAAAGGACCTGGAGTCGGGGAGCCAGCTCTCCGTGTGCGAGTGGAAATCCAGCCCTGTCTCAGCTGCCAGCTGCAGACTCACCACTGCCCAAGTGTCTCGCAGACCAGGAGATCTGTGTGCTGGTGGCACTGCCAGGCTGCTGCAGTCTGGGGAGAGAAGCCGGATGGTGATACCTCAGTCTCCCTGGCCCTTCACCTCCATCCAGGCCCAGTGAGATGTATACCTGGGATATAGGCATCTCCCCGGAGCTGGTCAGGCAGATGGCTCCAATTAGGGGGTTGTGGACGCCGACTCCTCACAAGGAAGACCCGGGGCATTGCTTTTAGGATGGTGGGGTGGCTCCTTGCAGGACTGCCTCAGCCTGTCTGCCTGCCTGTCAGTCCTCAGCCCCAGAACTATCCAGAACTCGGTGAGCTCAGGAGACCCATGGAGGAGCCTCATTCTCTTCATGCAAATTTTGGGACAAGTCTGGGGAGCAGCCTTAACTGGCTCTAGTTACCTACCGCTGCTCTGGGGCCTGCTCTTATGGCTCCTTTCCTAGGCCAGGCTCCCAAGGAACTCTGCAATCTCCAGGGGCTGAGACACTAGAGGACCCCCAGAGAGACTTGAGTGAGAGAACTGCTTAGGTTACTCCTGGGGATAGAGAGAAGAAAGAAGCATGACTCCAGTCTTGGCAGGGTGAAGGACTCCAGGGACTGTTTACCAGGCAAATCAGTCCCATGTCCGTTCCCCCCTACACACACACACATATCATCAGCCTGCCTGGTTATTCAAATCACGGCAGCTGTCCAAGGATTCAGGTGGGGACAGCTGTGATTGTTCTGTGCCACTGGTGTAGGATGACAGCTGAGTGGGAAGTTAGAAAGTAAAGATTCAGGCTGAGCTTCCTCAGTCAGGAAATGCTCCTTCCCTCCCTCCCTCCTTCCCTCCTTCTCTCTCTCTCTCTCTCTCTCTCTCTCTCTCTCTCTCTCTCTCTCTCTCTCTCTCTCTCACATCTTCAGGTTTCCAAAGATGATATGGCATCTTTCAGGCTTAAGGCATTAAAATGCCGGTTTGTCAACAGTCCGGTTCCTAGTGAGTGCACAGGACTCCGCCCATCCCTGGCCATCCCTGGGTTATCAAGAACTTACTACACTCTGGGTAGGCTGTCCTACATTGGTCTTTATCTGATGTCTGAACTAGGAGTCAAGAATTGTGAACCCTCTCCCCATAGTTACTTCTCTGACTTAATTAATTTTGAGAAAAGGTTTCTCTGTATAGCCTTGGGTGTCCTGGATCTCTCTCTGTAGACCAGGCTGGCCTTGAACTCAGATATCTGCCTGCCTCTGCCTCCCAAGTGCTAGGATTAAAGGTGTGCGCCACCACTGCCCAGCTTTCTCTGATTTATTTATCTAACAGTCTTTTGAACTTGTACTCTAGGCAGTTCAGCACTGAAAATGAGCACACCAGGCCATGAGGGAGACAGCAGTGACATCCAGAATGGTCCACTGTGAAGAACAGAGTGATAGGGATAGCTGGGATGGGCAAAACTGGGAGAGCAGAACTCTTGGAACCAAGAGAAGGTTCTAATCCAGCCTAGGGGTTCCTGTAGGGCTCCTGAAAGAAGAGGGCTCATGTGAAAGGGAAAGGCATTCTGAGCTCAGACCGTCAAGCTTGCAGCCAAGTGCCTTTACTCTGAGCCATCTCATCCCCTGCCTTTTTAACAGAGGGTCTCATGTAACCCAAGCTGGCCTGTGTAGCTGGGGATGAAATTGAACCCCTGGTTCCAGCCAAAGAGAATAGTCATTATAAAGGTTTGGCGGGAAGGAAAGGTACATTGCATTTTTTTTTTTTTAATTATGGCGGAGGGAGCAATACACAACACGTGTAGAGGTCAGAGGACAAAGTTTAGGAATTGGTTCACTTTCCGAAACCTTTATGTGGTTGGTGTGCTGGCTAGTTTTATGTCAGTCTGGCACAAAACAGTCATTTGGGAAGAGGGAACTTCAAATGAGAAAATGCCCTCACCAGATTGGTCAGTGGGCAAACTTCTGGTAAACTTTCTTGATTGATGTGGGAGGGCCCAGATCACTGGGTGGCGCTACTCCTGGGCAGGTGGTCCTGGGAGTTACAGAAGCAGGCTGAGCAAGCCATGAAGAGCAAGCCAGTGAGCAGCACTCTTCGGTGGCCCTTGCATCAGTTCTTGCCACCAGGTTCCTGCCCTGACTCTCTCGGATGATGGACCACATGTGATGTGGAAGTGAAATAAACTCTTTGCTCCCCCAAGTTGTTTATGGTCTTGGTGGTTTTTTGTTTTGTTTTGTTCTGTTTTGTTCTTTTTTCGAGACAGGGTTTCTCTGTGTATTCCTGGCTGACCTGGAACTCACAATATAGACTAGGCTGGCCTTGAACTCACAGAGATCTACCTGCCTCTGCCTTCTCAGTGCTGGGATTAAAGGTGTGCGCCACCATGCCTGGCTGGGCTTGATAGTTTATTTATTTATTTATTTATTTATTTATTTATTTATTATCACATCAATAGAAACCCTAAAGCATGTGGGTTCGAGGCTTGTGTGGCCAATGCCTTGACCTGTTGAGCAATCTCATCGCCACCCCTTTTTAAACAAATAGAACAAAAGAGGGTCTTTTTGTTTTTCACAGACCAAGCCTTGACCTTTATTATTTAAAAAGCTGCATATTTATTTTGCTTTCTGACTCTGTGCTTGTGCCTTCAACACCTTCACAACGATTTTCTGCTCCTCCGTAAGGAAAGTCGCTGATCCTGTCACAGACACACTTGGCACACAGGGACCCACCGTAGGCCCTGCTGACACGCTGCTTGGTCTTAGACAATCTCATAAGGACTTTCGGTCTCACAACACGAACCCCTCGAAGCCTGCCTGGGCACACACCACATGCGGATTTAGGTACTTTTCCAACCTTCTTGGTATAAAGGTAAACAATCCTGTTGCCAGGGGTTCGAGACAGCCTAGTTTTGTTAGAGGCTGTGTTGTAGGAAAGCCTACGACGGTATGGCAAACGCTGGACCATTCTGAGTGCCTCTAAGCACCGTCCCCGGAAGACTTTTTTTTGCTTTTTTGAGACAAGTTTTCTCTGAATTTTTGGAGCCTGTCCTGGAACATGCTCTGTAGACCAGGTTGGCCTTGAACTCACAGAAATCCACCTACCTTTTCCTTCTAAGTGCTGGGATTAAAGGCATGTGCCGCTACTGCCCGGCCAAAAGAGGGTCTTAGGCATCCCAAGCTGGCTTCCAACTTACTATATAGTCAAAGATGGTCTTGAACCTCTCAAGTGCTGGGATTGCAGGTATGTGCCACCATACTCATTCTATGTGGTGCTAGGGATGGAAACCAGGGTGTGGTGTAGGCTAGGCCAGGAGGTGGTGTAGGCTAGGCCAGCACTGTATTGAATTACACCCCAACTGCAGGGAAGATTTTTTTGTATTCCTTGTGTTATGATTTGAGTATGAAGTTCTCCTCCAACTGGGCGGTGGTGGCTCACGCCTTTAATCCAGCAATCGGGAGGCAGAGGCAGGCGGATCTCTGTGAGTTCAAGGCCAGCCTGGTCTACACAGTGAGTTCCAGGACAGCCAGGGCTACACAGAGAAACCCTGTCTCGAAAACAAAAAACAAAACAAAACAAAACGAACTCCTCCAAAGGTTCATGTGCTATAAAGAGTTGGACTCATTGGCTGGTGAATGGAGAGCTGATTGGGCCATGAGGGTTCCTAGCTCACCAATGGGTTAATCCATTGATGGATTCATACTTTGA